AGAGGGAATGAATAAAGTAAAAGGAAAAATATGGGACAAGGTATGCATGCATGTGTATATGCAATTACTTGCGTGTCTTTCCTATCAATCTTATGCATCAAGCATCCCTTAACTGTCAAGTTACTTCTTTACAGACTAGTATAAAGCTGGTTTGTAACGTCTTGTCGCTGCCAGTTCCTTCTGATTGTGCAAATGTTTCTGTGGATGAAGTGAACACCCAGAACTCCGTTGAAGAGAAAATGCCTAGCAAACTTGTTCTAGTTGGGTATCGCAAATCTGGCACAAGCACTATATTTAAACAGGTAAGACATTGGTGGAGGGAATTACACGATTACACATCTCTTAGTACAGTAAAATTTGTAACCTAATTGGTGCATTTCTATTACATAGCTTCAGGGTCTTACAAAATTATTTGTTGTGGAAAACATTAGATGATAGTAATCAACATCAAAACTTGACAGCCAAATCAGCATTGGCATGACTTGAAGTTTTCAAGAAACTTGTTGCTGATTAATTTTCAGTAAATGTGTATACCTGTAAAAAGTTGAAGGTGCATACAGAAACGTACAAACACATGCCTTTGTGTGGATTTTTCTTAATGCATTACTATACATGTGTTTTTCTTAGTGCACCGTATCAGCAGCAGCACATTCTATTTAGAATTTTTTATAACTATCAAGTGCAAATATGGACATAGATAACTAAACATAACTTCGTTTTCCTTTTGCTGGAGCAATCTTATCATGAAAGCCTATATCAAGTAAGTCATTCCACATTTGTAATAGGATCCAATGTTCTATATTTGTGTACTTTTATATTGTGTTCAATAAACTATTGGAAGGACATTGTGATACTAACTTAAACATTTCTTAGTAAGTGGTTGTGTATTTGTTCAATGTAAAACAGTGCTACTAGGAATGTTACTTTTAGAAACACTTCATTCCAATAAATTTATTCTGAATACTGCCTGGAATTTTTGTGACACTAAGTACTTGCTTATTTTAGGCCAAGCTTCTGTATAATGTTCCTTTCTCTGAAGATGAGCTGCAAAATATAAAGTTCATGATCCAAAGCAGATTGTACAGTTATCTTGGTATACTGCTTGAGGGGCGTGAATGGTTTGAAGAAGAATGTTTGCTTGAGAAGAGCAAAGGAAAAGGACAGCTTCTAGATGAACGTGGCCCTTCGGGTACAATAAAAACTGATACCTTGTTTTATTCACTACATTATGTTTACATAATCTGGTCTTTTTTTACATCAATATGTAACAATTGTGTACGGATAGCAATTCATCCACTAAAGTCAGTTGTCCTGTTCATCTCTAACTTTAGATAAATTAGTTTTTTCAATTAAAATAGATGAGATCTTAGATTTTCTTTTTGTTCAGATAGGAAACATACATTTGTATTAAACATAAAAGAAAGATGAGGCACCCTTTGCAAGATCTTAGTAAGTTAACTTTTCTCAAGTGTGTAGAAATTTACCAAGCACGTGGAAAAAAAGGCCAGCATTGATTTTTTCTGCCTCACAAACTATGTAAATAATCTACCGTGGGACAAATTTATACAATTCTTATCTTCTGTATGATCTTCCCAGGTTTATGGCTTCATACTTTTTCATCTCAGCTGTGTGATTCTTTATTTGATTCGTGAATTGTTCATCCAATTTGTTTCTGACCATTGAGTGTCTAAACCTTCCACCCATGGTTTCTCAGTTATCTATCTAATAGTGCTTTAATAAAAAGCGTTATCACCTATAAATTAATTATAAAGGAAAAACATATTTGTTTTCACTGATATTAATCGGGTAATTGGACTTTATTTGAAGGACTACATGGGTTGCGTTAAAGCTTTCAGTTAGAATTTCATTATGGTATCTTTGTATCACAGCTTGCTTCTTTTGAATACTTTTGGTGCTTCTTGTGGGTTACTGATCTTTCGATTTCCTATCAAGTTGATATATCTTTCTATTAGTTGATTATCACCTTACCATTTTGCTTACAAATAACATATGAAACAGCAAGTATGATGCTTACCTTTTGTATAAATTATTGCTATCAGTTTTTTCATTATGGAGTCATGTCTGAAGTTTGTTACTTAACGACAGGGAATGCAAGCCGGCTTAACAATAAAACAAAATATTCCATTGGCCCAAGACTGAAATCTTTTGCAGATTGGCTCATCAAAGCTATGGTATCCGGTAATTTAGAAGCCATATTTCCAGCAGCTACTCGTGAATATGCACCATTCATTGAGGAGTTGTGGAAGGATCCTGCTATTCAGGCCACATATGACCGGAGGAATGAAATAGAAATGCTACCCAGACCAGCCACTTATTTTCTTAATCGGGTGAGATCACGCTCTGTGGTCCCTGTCCTCTCTAGTTTTAGCCAATTCACATTCTCAAAGTGCTTGTTCTCGTATTTTTTGTTTGTTTAAGTTTAATCTCTCTTAGCTTTAAGTATTTGAGTTTTCAATTATTTGATGCGCCAGATGCTCAGAATGTTCGTTTGATCTTGTGGATAAATTTAGATACGAATATGGAATGTGGATAATATTGGATAATATACCCTTGTTAATCAATTTATATACCTTTCTTTGCAGGCTGTTGAGATTTCAAGGACAGATTATGAGCTCTCAAACATTGACATCTTGTATGCTGAAGGAATCACTTCATCCAACAGCCTTACTAGCATGGAATTTGCATTTCCCATGTCAGAAGGAAATAGCAATTTGGATCCTCCCTATCAGCATGACCCTTCTTTAAGGTTAGGGTTCCTGATTCATGCCTGAATTAAATGATGTTTGAGCAATACATGCTTTAATTATTCTTCATTGAGCGTGATTTTGGCCAAATCTATTGCTTAATGTTGTTGCTGATTAAATTTATTTTTGACGTGCATTGCCCAATGGATAGAAATGGATGTGCAGTCGTAGATCATTTATAACTGGGACTAGTCATCAACAAAAGTATTATTTGAAAATGAAACTTATAAAATACTTGCATCATAAGTAGTGAAATTGGATTATATAATTTGCTAATGAAGGGAAACAGCGGCAAGGAAAATATCTGTTCGAGGCCAATTGATCATTAAGTTACTTGAAAGCACAAGAAATTTCCAAGATATGGTATTGAATTCAAAATTTCAAAGTTTTAAATGGTCCTTTTTTTCCAGTCTCTTAATTATTGAAATAATGACGAGCATTCTGTTTATCTAAAAAAAACTGAAACATTCTTATTTCATGTGTTGACAAACAGGGTATCAAAGTGCCTTTTAACATGCATTGGCATGCTTTTCTTTGCAGATACCAACTCATTAGAGTGCATCATAGCAGCCTTGGAGGAAACTGCAAGTTGGTGGAGATGTTTGAAGATGTTGATATGGTCCTATTTTGTGTTGCATTGACAGACTACGATGAGTTGTCTGTAGATTCTAATGGCATTTCAATGAACAAGATGATGGCAAGTAAGCAGCTCTTTGAAAATATTGTTACTCATCCGGCCCTTGACCACAAAGACTTCCTCCTGATACTCAACAAGTTTGATCTGTTCGAAGAAAAGATCGACGAAGTCCCTCTCAGTCGATGTGAATGGTTTCATGACTTCAATCCAGTGACCAGCCAAAATCCCAGCAGCAGCAATAATAACAGTAATAACACCACATTGGCTCACCGAGCCTTTCAGTATGTTGCAATGAAGTTCAAAAGACTCTTTCGTTCTTTAACAGATAGAAAGTTGTTTGTTTCACTGGTTACGGCATTAGAGCCTGACACTGTAGATGAAGCTCTCAAATATGCTCGTGAGATTCAAAAGTGGGACGAAGAGGTACCCAGATTAGTTAATGAGTTATCATCTGCTAGCATGGATGCAAGTTCTTCTGCGTAAATGTGAGTAAATGTGGCTTGTAAGGCCTGCATCCATTACATTTGTTCAAATTGTTTGTATACATGCACTCCGGAACACAGATATATAAGAAGAAAATAGAGTTCAGATTATTTTCTATTTTTTTGTTGGTATTGCTTCTCATAACTTATGCGGAAGTTGACACGGCGGATTAGCAAATGAATAAGAATAATATCTTTCCAATAGGCTGTCTGAAATTTTATTTGTTTGAAAAAGCAAAAGTCTGCCTGCACAACTACAAGTATTGAAGAAAACCAAATGCCCAAATGGGTTGATAAGTCGTCTTTAGTTTCCCCCAAGTGCTCACCATGAAGTTCATGTAATAAAACACCATATGTTATTGCCTAAAATTACATAATACAGTATGTGCATGGTTGTGGTAACTGAAAGAATATGGAGCAAGATAGAAAAGCAAAAACTCTCCCATAGAAAAATTATACTAACAAGGCTCAGCTCAATCTACAATAAAGAAACAACCCACAAACAAAAACCATCGTATCTTGAGAAAAAAGAAACAGTTCAACTTCCTCATCGAAAATGGAGTATTGAAGCAGCTGCAGCATGCCTTCTGCTTCCACATTTTCTTGAGTAGTGCATGCTGCAAAACCAGAACACATCAAACATAGTTAGTTACGAGCAACTAATTTGGAATATAACTATTTAAAACCTAGAAACATAATCATGAGGATGAATGGATGATAAAGAAAGAGAGGCAAACCCATAAAACTTTTTATGAGCTGCTTTCTCAGAAACAACTTAGAGGTCCTCACCTGTTAGTTGGGAAGTATGTACGTATTTGTTTCCGAAAATACTTTGCCTCATTATCCTGTAGGAGGAACTCATATACTTTCATATCAATCACAGTTTGACATGTGTGCATAAATTTTTCTTTTTGACGAATTATTTTTGCATATGTGTCAAATTGTGATTCTCCTTCCGGAGGAGGAAAAACAATGACCTATTTGTCCAGTACAGGGAAAAACTAATCAGAATGTATACTGTCTTCGTCCCGAAGGATCCGGTGGACCCCGGCACTTTTAAAGGCCAGTGAACTTTCACAAGTAAAATTGACTCGACACATGCAAGGCAGCGACTCATCATCCATCCAATGTCCCCACGTCTCTATCCTTGAAAGGTCTGGAATATAGTAGAGCCACGCATGAGCTGCCTCTATCTCTAATGAACCATAAAAAGTTGTTTTAGCTTTACCAATGCATTCTTCATTGATGCAAATGTCGGCTTCAAAAAAGATGGACTCATCATAAGATTTATTTTGCGTGTTCTGATGAAAAGTAGCCCAGAGGGCCAATCCATTGTTCTCCAACATTTCAGGGATTTCAACACAAACTTCACATTTACCAC